CCCCATGCACCGCAAAGCCCCGCCCCATGCACCGCAAAGCCCCGCCCCATTCCCTATGCGCGGTCCCATGCACACTACACACGCCTGCCTCTGCTTCTGCCCTCACACTGCACGCTGCCCTGTGCACCACCCTGGGCACAGTGCCCACCCCTCTCCTCAGCCTGCAAACACCGGGCCCCCAACATGTCCCACCACCCACAAAGGCACCGCACTGTGCCCCCAGGAGCCACCCGCACCTTCACGCTGCTGTCGGTGGGTCCTACAATGGGCAACTCTATTCCCCTGCCTTCCCTCATCCCCTGCATTGGGTGGGCCTGCGGCAGGCGTGGCCCTACACCCTGCACCCTGAGCTACCCTGCAAGTCTATTCTGTGCCCTTACTGCAGGCGGCCCAGCACTTCTTCGATCCCACCCTTGTTTCTCAACTCACATCACCCCACTCTGCAAGGCCCACCGAGGCCTGGCTGTCCAGGCCCCACCCTGAGCCCCACAGCCTGGCCTCAGCCATCCACAGTCTCACTTTGTCTCTCCTCCCCCATCAAGAGACTGCCCTCTGCCTCCATCCCTCCATCCCTAGCCTCTCTCAACAACCCAGAGCCCCAGACTGGCCAACAGTCCCCTAGGCCGTGGAGATGGGGAGCCAGTTGGGTGGGCTGGACCTCCGGCCTGAGGTCTAAGGCCCCTCTCCCAACCTGGGTTGGGCTGTTTTCCCCTTCCAGGCCAGACTCCTGGGACCCCCTCCCCCTTCTTCCCTCCTTTCTTGGCTGCCCAGCCACCCTGGCTGCTGCAGCCCAACAACCCTGTATACTCCCATCCCTGGAGCCCCTGGCCGCTCCTCCTCCAAGAGGCCACTAGCCTCCCCAGGCCTTTTGGTCCACCCACCCTCCATCCTGCAGCCTAGGGCTCAGCCTGTCCCTTACTCGGGGACCCCTATGTGCAGCTCCTGCAGCTCCCTCCTGCCCACGGGCCCTACTTTCTCTCCTTCTCCTCTGTGCTGACTCCAGGCTTCCTCTGTCCCTGTAGCTGCCTGTTGCCTCTGTCTACATCCCCTGGCACCTTAGATGTTTCTGGAGGCTGGTGGGCCATGATTAGAGATGTGAGATGCACTTCAGGGACCTCAGTGGACTCCTAGGAGGCAGGGAAGGGCTCTGGTTCCCAAGACAGGTAGAGCCCCCTTGCCTTTACGACTGGCTGGGTAGTGTAGTACCGACCCTGGAGGTGGGCATCTGGAGTCTCCCCTCCCCCCCAGTACCCTGTTAAATGATGAGAATGACTATTGAGATCATCTGGGAGGAAGGAATTAAGGGTGTGGTGGGCACTGGGAAAGAGTTATGACAGTGGTTCCTACCCTTATCCAGGCCACCTGTGCTGGGAGCCATGCTGAGTATGGAGCTCTAGGTGGCCATGATGCCACGGCCCAGGAGATTGCTCTCTGGATAGGCTGTTACCAAACAACAGGTGGTCTTGACCTAGCCCAGGGTCCAAGCCTCCGCTCCCTTCCTCTCCAGGTCAGACTCTTGCTGCTCATTAGCTGGCCACGGCCCTGTGTGCTTTCTATTTAACATCCCTCTAAGAGGCCACTGGCCAGCTGGGAGAGGGGACATGAGGACCAGAGGTCCAGAGTTGTTTTCTTATAAAGCATTGTTTGTGGTCATTCTAGCCTGCAGGTTGATGTAGCCCAAAGTTGGGTGCACTGCAAGGCGTGTCTATGGGAAAGAGTCTGGTAGATGCAGCCGTGGGGATGCCTATGACAGATCAGTGACACAGACCCCCCTCAACACTCAGCCCTGCTTCTCCTCTGACTAACCCACTTCCCCACCACAAGGCCTGGGATTTCTGAGGCTGCACCTCCCCCAGCGCTTGGCATCTCCCACACCTGAGAACCAGCAGTCATCCCTTCCTCCTTCCCTGTCACTGAGCTCAAACCTGTCATTCTTGTTTGTCCCTTTCTTGGGCCCAGTGATAAAATATAGTTAAATCTGAGGTTGCACTCAGCAGCTAGCAGTTCCTTTCTTGTTTTAAAAAAGGCTTTATAGGTCCAGTGTGGTGGTTTAAGACTATAATCCCAGCACTTGAGAGGTCAAGTCAGGAGAATCATCAGAAGTTGGAGGCCAGTCTAGGTTGTATAATGAGTTCTAGGCCAGCCTGGGCTACAGTGTGAATCTCTCTCTCAAAACCAGAACCCAAATAAGTTGAGTGTGGTGGCACACGCTTTAATCCCAGCACTGGGGAGGCAGAGGCAGGTGGATCTCAGTGAGATCCAGGCCAGCCTGGTCTCCATAGTGAGTTCCAAGCCAGCTGTGGTTACAGAGAAGCCCTGTCTCAAAAAGACCAAAGCAAAGCAAAGCAAACAGAACAAAAACCAAATAAACCAGGTACGGTAGACACAACTTTCATCTCAGCCCTTGGAAGGCAGAGGCAGATAGATCTCTGAGTTCAAGACCAGCCTGGTCTACATAGTGAGTTCCAGGCCAGCCAGGGCTACATAGGGAGACCCTGTCTCAAAAGAAATAAAAATAAAAATAAATAAATACGTAAACGTAAAGACTGGGATAAAAAATGGAACAGAAATTAGAACCCCGCAGCCCGGCCCTGCTCGGTATTTACATGTGCACTTGTTGCATTACTACGTGCTGCAGCTTGTAAAGTGATGACTGACGCACGACCGATACCCGAAGTGCAGAGCACACGCGTCACATAGTCCCGGTTCACTGTTGTAAAATCCCAACTTAGCCCATGTTTTCCTCCCTCCCTCCCCCAGGCCTCGGTGGTCTTTGGAGTTGTTATTACACATCCTGTCCTCGGTCTCCAGTCTCTTTAGAAGGACCGTGGTCCATGAATAGCATTCCTTTACGTTTCCTCCTTTTCATAGCTTGGCAGCACAGTTCCTTCCAGGGCTAAACAGTTCTCCATGATGTGCGTGTTGCCTTGGTTTACCCAGCTGCCTGCTGAAGGATTTTGATGGGTTTTGTTGTTGTTACTGTTTCGTTTGCTTTGGGTTTTTTTTTTTTTTGAAATAAGGACTCTATGTAGCCCAGGCTGGCCTGGAACTGGCTCTAATCTTCCTGCCTCAGCCTAAGTGCAGGGATGACGGGCAGAGGCCTGGCTTGATGGTAATCTTTGATGCTTCCATGACTGGGCACATAAGAGCAGAAATTGTAAGGGTCACCACTGCTGTAACAAAGGCCAGAGAAAAGACATCGGTTTAATCACAGTCGTACTTGGTCTGGAGTTTTCAGAACTAAGGAAATGGGAGCGTTTTATTCCTGTGCCTAGTGCAGCGTGTGGCCCATGTGACAGGCCCAAGGCTGTGACGGCATGACACTGTCTGTTGGAGCCCGGCACTGCCTAGTCCTGTGTGTGGTGGACCTCCTCCCTGGTACAAGATGGGACTCTCTCAAATGTGTGTCTCAGAAACCTGTGTCCATTATGGCTCCTATGCAGTAAGGTGGGGAGGCTGGAGGGCTTTTTAGGAGTTGAGGTTGGCCTTGGGAAGGGCTCTGGTCTCTGGAAGGAGAGGAGGAAGAGATTGCTGCTGAGGCTCTTCCTAGGGCAAGATCAGTCGCTGGCAAAGCTGCCCCAGCCACCACACTGCTGGGACTGCTGGGTCCGGGGCCTGAAGGTCTTCGAGCAGGCGCTGTGCAGCCAGGCCCTGGGGCATGTCAAGTTGTTGCTCTAACCTACCCTGCAGAGCAGGCAGTGCAGTGGCCTCTCTTGCTTTGGGGCTCATCTTCTTTTCCTTCTTTTTCACACTGGGGTTGAACCCAGAGCCTTCCCAAGTAAGCGCTGCACCCCCCGCCAGTGCTTCTGACTCTGTGAGCTCTGTATTTTGTTCACTTCTCTATAAACTGACTTCTATTTCCCCTAAAATATGTAGGTTGAAATTCTGACCCGCAGCACCCAAGAATATTTGAAGATGGGACTTCTTTTTCTCCCTGTGGCCCCAGCTGGCCTGAACTCACTATGGAGACCAGGCTGGCCTCGAACTCACAGAGATCTGTCTGCCTCTGCCTCCTGAGTCCTGGGATTAAAGGCGTGCGCCACCCATACCCGGCAGAGATGAGACTTTTAAGAGGCAATCAAGGTAGAATAAGGTCACAAAGTATCCCTAATCCAATCTGACTCCTGCGTTTATGAGAAGAGGGATCAGAACATGGACATAGCAAGGATGACCAGGGAAAAGGCACTGCCTCAAGTTACAGCGGGAGGCTTTGGGTGTAACCGGGTCTGTAATCCCTCCGTCTTAGACTTCAGCCTCCAGGATGTGCAAATTATATCTTGTCTGTCACATTTGACACAAAACACTTCCCTAAGGAGGCATGGTGGTGCATGCCTGACATCCCATCCCTCAAGAGGTGCAGGAGTGTAAGGTCATCCTCAGC